TCTTTTGTAAATACGTCCGTGTGTCGTGCCTTTTCTTTTGATTTGTCTACCTCGACTTCTGTTTTGAGTCTTCTCCGAGTGTGTCTCGTTGTGTTTAGGTCGTGTACCCTTTTGTTGAATCTTTCTCGTTGTGTTCAGTTGTAGGCTCGGTACCTCGGTTGAAAACCTTTTTTTTATTTTAATTTCAAAAGTTAAAATCATTTATGCTTAGAATGCTGCGCCATTCTCCACATTTATGCGAAGCAAAAGAAGAAAAAGGAAAATTTGGGGTATCTAAGTGCGCTTCAACTTCAACTGGTTTCACCTTTATAGTTCGTCTTGTCAGATTGGGCTGTTTGTTCAGGGTTTGCCGTGTGCAGAATGAACCAAGCTCTGTGTTATGGGCTGTATGTAGATTATTCCCCAGTAGAGTATAGGCCGAGTGTTCAGAATGAGTAATGGTTTGTTTGAGTTGTTTTGCTGATTGGCTGGTTCGTTATCTGATTATTACAATGCAAGTGTTCGATTTTCAAACAACAGATCAATTTCATTTACATTGAGGTGCAACATGATGCAATGCAATGCAATATATGAAATGTAAAAATGCAACACTTTTTTTAGATAAAATGTTTGTTTCATTTCATCATCTTTTTCAAGTACATAGTTTTGGAAACAAAAACCTGCCTACGGCAGTACAAAGGTACTCTAGTTACCAGCAAAAAGTACAAAAAGAAAGAGGAAAAGAAAAGCAGCAAAAATCTAGATCAAAAGGGCTCCGGCCTAGGGGTCCGTCCTCGTCCTCTTCCTGGACGAAGGTCCAGGAGCATCGTCATCAGCATCATCTTTTGAGTCCGAATCTGTGCCATCTCCGGTCTCCACCTCGGGCGACTCTGCCTCCACCTCGGACTCATCATCATCAGGAACGGGTGACCGTGAGCTACTCCCAACATGGGTGCGCCCCGCCTTGGTGCGGGGGTATACTCTGCCATCTCCTCCGGCAGGAATAGAAGGTCCAGTTGGAGCACCTCCCACGGTAGGGATCTAGAAGGGAGGCTGAAAAGTTCAAGAGGCAAACGCATCAGTATGCCGTGAGCAGTTTATCAATGTAGAATGCAATGTATGAGTACAGTGTGCGAATGCCATGAGCAGTTTTTCAGTGCAGAATGCAGTGTATGAGTACAGTGTATGAATGCCGTGAGCAGCTTATCAAGTGTTGTGTTGTGCACCAGATTATGTGAAGCGGCTTATGTGTATGGTTTACGACTGTGATCAGAAGAACATACCGGAATACTATAGAGGGTCAGGAGGTTGAAAGTCCGCTGTAACATCCCCATCATGGAGGCATTTAGCTCCAAGGACTGCCGGGTATACTCGAAAGAAGCCGGCAAAGGTATCAGATGCATCAGTATTCTGCGGAATATCAAATAAACTGAAATGAAATGCCAATAGAAGATGCATAAAATGTAGTAATACATACCGGAGGCAAGTCATGGAAACCAACCAACTCGTGGTCAGCCGGAGGAGGAGCAAAGGGGATCTGGTAGGTCGCCCCACCCTGCCCTCTGTATGTCAGTGAAGTGGGCAGTGCAGGCCAGCCACCTCCCCGCCCTTTCTAAACTCCACCCCTGCCCCGGACCCGAGCTCTCCTCGATGCTCCTAACCCAGCCCCCGCCCTTGCCCCAGCCCCCACTCCTGCCCTAGCTGCCGGCGCCGCGGGCCTCTCTCCCTCAACTCAACGGCCACTACTCAGAGGCCGCATAACATACGTCTGCACGTACTCTCTGTAGTCGCCTATGCCTCTGAAGCGGGTCGTATCCCAACCGATCATGTAGTCGGCCATCTGCTCGGCGATGAATCTCTCAGTATCCCTCATATGCTCAGGAGGGTGAATCGGGACTATCTGCTCTAGTAACCCTAGGGTCTGGCGTAGGAAACGCTCACCCAGTACCAAGCCTGACAGACCGGGCCCTCCAGCAAAATCTAGAAACGCGAGGTCTCCTCAGCACCGGCAAACCAATCCCGAATCACGGCTGGCAATGGAGCCCAAGGCTGCCAGGTGATCTGAAAATGAAATACAGATTGTTATCTACTATTATTGACAATACAGTGTAAAGCGAAGCTTAAATGAACTGCAAGTAAAACATACCTCTGCGGGAGTGATGGTGCCAAAATAGCGGCAGAAGAAGCTAAACGTCTCCCGAGGCCTCCGCACGCACCTCCCGTCGAAACGACACGAAAATGGAACGACGAGAGGGGTCTCCGCATCTGGCACGGGGGCGAGTCTCGAAAAGTAGGCGTAGACTCACAACTGCAGAATAAATACCAGTATGCTTATCAGATAAAGCAGAATAGGAAATAAAACAGAGATAGCAGAGCCGTGTGCAGTGTATTGAGTCGAGTGTACAGTGTGAGCAGAGCACAATCAGCGTAAAGCAGAGTATGTGTAACAACCCGACCCTCATATATGCTTGTGATATATGTTTGTCCTTTATTCTGTGCTATTAAGTGACTAAGATGAAGCTGTACGAAGAAATATGTTCAAATAACTATGTTGTGAGGTCTTATGAAATGAATTGTATCTGTCAGAAAAGAAATGTATCTGTTGCTATTAGAACGATGAAGTAGAAATCGAGGGCCTTAGCGGCTTAATAAGCCAAAATTGATCATATATTTAGAACCAGCATAATTTTTAGGTAATATTAAGCACTTTTGTGAAATTTCGATTTTCGGATGTGTAAACGATTGATTTTCGTCTCATTCTCTCCATAAGGTTATATATATATGTGGCCTTAGCCATTTGACAAACCAAGGAACTTATAACATAACTTTAGATTTGAGAGTGAAGGGGTAGAGAAAGAAGTCCTCAAGAAGGTTAAGACTGGACTTAAGGTATGTACATGTTTAAATTCTTGTTATAATTTATGTAAAGATATTTCTATGATCTTATTCCTAAGAGTTGGAATTGTGGTGTTGTAAGCTTGAGAAGTAAATGAATAAAATGACCTAACCATGCATGCTTTGATTCAATTTGAAGTATCCATGAGAAACTCTACTCTATTTCTTCTATTGATTTGTTTGAATTCAAGTATGTGGCAAGATTTTATGTTATGAAGTGAGATGTAAAAACAAATAGGAATCTTGTGAATTGGAGTGAATTTAAGTTGTGAATTTATGCTTTGATTGTTGGTTACTCAAATAAAAGATGTGATTTGATCCTTGTGCACATGTATTTACATGCTTTGAGCTTATATATTGGTAATTTAAAACTAGATTTTTGAGGCCCTAATCATGTCTACAAGAGGGGGAAAATTGTGCAGAATTTCGGAGTTTTGGTGCAGAATCGCCGCACGTGCGGGGCCTAAGGCCGCACGTGCGGGAACCTCAGCCGCACGTGCGGGAGTCACTGCCGCACGTGCGGGAAAATGGCAAATTTTTGGACTTCAAACACTGCAAAAACCGCACGTGCGGGGCCTCAATGCCGCACGTGCGGGAGGTGTGCCGCACGTGCAGGAAATCCTAGCCGCACGTGCGGCCCAGGGCAGAAAAGTTGGGATGCTCCGTTTTGCGTGTTGGGTCCTCTAATGTGGTCAAAACCTACAGTTTATATTGTTTGAATATTCGTTAATTTAATCAAAGTAAGTGAACCGAACGTTGGTTTAACAAGAAAAAGGGGCTAATGTAATCTTTTATATGTTCATGTGTGTAGGAAACACCTCAAAAGGAAGTGCACCGCCACAACACAGTGAGTAATAGTGCTTCAATGTATCCCTACTCAGTATTTATAATTAATGACGTTGTGACCTTGTAGAAAGTATCATCGTATGATATACTGACGTTATATCTTGACGTTATGAATGTCACTATTAAACTTGTGTTGGCATGAGATGATTGGTATGAAATGACATATCTGCTATAAATAATTTGATACGAAATTGTGAAAACATTGAAAAGGTTGTGAAGTTGTACGCATCCTATATGAAAGTTGTGACTACCGGAATGTATCAAGGCAATATGAATTTGTGACCAATGTGGCTTAGTGCCATTTGTGAACCAATGTGGCTTAGTGCCATTTGTGACTCAATGTGGCCTAGAGCCAACTGTGAATTAATGTGGCTAAGAATCCTAATGTGAAACTACGTGACCAATGGTCAATTGTGAATTGTGAACTAATGAGGCCAAGGGCCATTTGTGAATAAAGAAATTATGAGGCCAAGGGCCATTTGTGAATAAAGAAATTATGAGGCCAAGGGCCATTTGTGAATAAAGAAATTATGAGGCCAAGGGCCATTTGTGAATAAAGAAATTATGAGGCCAAGGGCCATTTGTGAATAAAGAAATTATGATCAACCAGGAGGTCGATCTTAGCTCGGCATCGTCATACTTTTGTCAGCCTAGGCACAGCCAAGCTTGGAGTCGGGACCCTACTTTTGTGGAAGTTGTTAGATGTTGACTCACACTTTTGTTATTGGCTTAAGTGATATGTGCCTATTGACTTTGTTATACCCCATCTCGGGATTAGTTATGTCTATGACTGTAAATAACTAGCTCTTAAATGTATTTTGGCTTTTGATGTACTTGCCCTGTAAAATGTTTGATCCTGGCATGTTTTAGTGGCTCAATGGATGTCATACTTTTTAGTTTTTATTAATTATATTTTATAGCTTCCGGGCAGGCCCCTCTATGGACCCAGGCTACGTGTCATCTTCTGTTCAGGTCATGCCCAAACTTTTAGGGGCAAGTCAGGGACGTGACAAGTGGTATCAGAGCACGAGTTGCTATCTCACACACAGATCCATTGAGCCTTAGGATGTCTAGAAAAGACTTAAGCATCATGCATGGCATCCTAAAAATGTATGAAAGATCGATGGCAACAAAGAATGTACTCTGCTAACGCTAACAATTTGACCTTTGTTTGCCGGATATAATTGAATGTTATGCAGGTTATGGTTAGAACCAGGATGGAAGAGTCGGACGAGGCTACCTCGGCACGGTTGGACCGAATGGAAAGAATGATTATGGACATGGCGGAGACTCTAAGGCAACAACAGCAACAACCGCCACCACCACCAGTGCCTCCACCTGCAGTACAAGATGTACATGTTGAGGACCGAACCATCACACTCACAAAAGAGTTTAAAAAGATGAAACCACCGTCATTTAAGGGGGGAATAGAACCTATGAAAGCTGAAGCATGGGTGCTGGGAATAGAGAAATTGTTTGAAGTATTTCCATGTACAGAAGCCCAGAAAGTGCAACTTGCCGCCTTTACTCTTGAAGATGAGGCGCGAAGATGGTGGATGCTTACAAGAACAGTGCATCGGGACTTAACATGGGATAGATTTCTGGAGTTGTTTTATGATAAGTATTTTCCTCAAAGCATGCGAGATAAGAAGGTGACGGAATTTGAGACTCTTAGACAAGGAAATAAGACTGTTGCAGAATATGAGGCCCAATTTACTGAATTAGCTCGGTTTGCCCCTCATATGGTAGATACAGACTATAAGAAGGCACGAAAATTTGAAGGGGGCTTACGGGGTGCCATTTTGGACCGGGTCAATATGCTAAAATTACCCACGTATGTTGAGGTGCTAGAAAGGGCTGTTATTGTAGAAGGAAATCTTGCGGCCCAGAATCGGATTTCCGAGTGGAAAGGGAAGAGACAAAACAACCAATGGTCAAAGAGATCCGTTACTCCACCCGCTAAGAAGCACAATTCAGGGAGTTTCAGCACCACTACTTCTACTCAAAATTCCACTCCGGTGTGCCCAGACTGTGGAAGGCAACATCGAGGAACTTGTCATTGGAAGACTGGAGCATGTTTTAAATGTGGGAAAACGGGACATTTGGTAAGGGATTGCCCGCAATTGGTTCAACAAAAAGGCAATAGATCCGCTACAAGTTCTGCGGGGTCTACACTAACCCCCAATGTGAAGACGGCTCCCAAACCGAGTAATAACAAAGACACTGCAAGACAAGGTAGGGTGTTCGCTTTGATTCCAGGTGATGTAGAAAATACAGCAACAGTGGTGTCAGGTACATTCACTATTTATGGTCAATCTGCGCATGTATTGTTTGATTCTGGTTCCACTCACTCTTTTGTGTCAAAACTCTTCGCTCCTAATTTAGATAAAATTGAAGAAAACTTATCTTGCATGTTGTGTGTGTCCTCCCCCTTGGGAGAGTCTATAATTTGTGCTACTATATATCTAGCTTGTGAACTTCAACTCGGAGATATTCGGGTATATGCTAATTTAGTGCCTCTCGATATGACCCATTTTGATGTTATTCTGGGGATGGATTGGGTAAGTGCTTATGGTGCAACTATAAACTGTGTGACTAAGCAAATCAATTTTTATCCTCCGGGGCAATCAGAGTCTGTGGTTCAAGGGCAGGAAGTGATTTCGCCACCTTACCTGATATCTGCCATGAAGGCTTGCAACTTAATACGGAAGGGCTGTCGGGGGTATCTATGTAGCGTTTTAGAAGGGCAAGGGATGAATGAGAATCTTGATGTGATCCCAGTGGTCCGTGAGTTTCCGGATGTTTTTCCCGAAGAATTACCGGGCCAACTAATAGACCGAGAAATTGAGTTTATAATTGAAGTGGCGCCCGGAACCCAACCTATCTCGAAGACACCCTATAGGATGTCACCAGCTGAAATGAAAGAGTTGAAGATTCAATTACAGGATCTGCTTGACAAGGGATTTATCCGCCCGAGTGTGTATCTCCTTGGGGTGCGCCAGTATTGTTTGTGAAAAAGAAGGACGGAACACTTCGGTTATGTATCGACTATAGGGAACTGAATAAGGTGACAATTAAAAATAAGTACCCCTTACCACGGATAGATGACTTATTCGATCAATTACAAGGGGCACAAGTTTTCTCAAAAATTGATTTACGGTCTGGCTACCATCAACTGAAAGTTAAAGCCGATGACGTGGAGAAGACAGCTTTTCGAACCTGGTACGGCCATTATGAATTTTTGGTTATGCCCTTCGGGTTACAAACGCACCAGCAGCATTTATGGATCTAATGAATCGGCGTCTTTAAGCCCTATCTAGATGAATTTGTGGTGGTTTTTATCGA